ATACAACAGGTATGAGTGGTTTGATATCAGTCCGAACTCTCGTAGGCGTGCTAACTGTACCGCATGCAGGCGTCCCGTACGTGTGGGGTGCTCCCCCCCGTCGGCCTGCCGTCGCCACCCTCCGCTGCCACGTAACTTCGCCTGACGCAAACGCCGCTCTTTATCAGCACTCTGTTTTGACACTATCACTCTCCGCGTCGTCCGGGAGCCAAGTCGTGTGTCCCAGCGCAGAACCCTCTCGCAACAACAGTGATGCGTGCGTGTCGAGCACTCGCCGCTCTGCCGCCTGGAGAAGGACAGCGCACGAGAGCGTGTTGTCAGGCCTTCCCGGACCATCCACACTAAAATCTGCTCCAGCTCCATCAATTTTCCTTTGCTGCGGGTGTATGCAGCACCATGTTACCTGTTTACCTCGATGTAATAGAATTTCTCATAATGGGTTCGTCATAAATGCGTTTCGTGTTACATAAACTCGCATTATCCGCGATGATGATGGATCCAAACTGTTTCCGCTGCAGCTGTTGGCTGAGCGAGCGCGGCTGGCGGCGGGGCGGCGGGTGCGGGTGACGTGGGGTTTGTTCCCTCGGGGCCCTGAAGGCGCCTCCTCAAAGGTTCGATAAATGTGTAAACCTTCGCCGATGAGACAGGAGTAAACACGGGAGCACGGCCCGGGGCGGCGGCGCCGGGGCACCCCAGGGTGTTTACAGCGCGCCTGCCTTTTCAATAGGAAGAGGCCGGGCCGTGCTGAGCGCGGCCGAGCGTGGCTGAGCGTGGCTGAACGTAGCGCCACCGCAACTCGTTTGCTCACGCCTCGTGCGTTGCCGAGGCTACAGCAGATAGCGCGCTCGGCGCTCGCGCCGCCCCGGCCGTCAACTTTATTTAGAGGGCGCGGGTAAAAATAAAAGTTCCATGACACGTCTAAACCCAGCCACCGAAGCAACCCACCCGACCGCCGAGCAAGGGCGAGCAGCGTACGGAGTGCGCGAGGAGCAGCGGCGGCAGCCAGGAGCACGAGCGAGAGCGAGAGCACCGCCGTGTAGATCTCGTGAGGTGCCAAGCCGAAGCCGCACTGGATGAGGGAACTTTTCTTCTCCCGCTTCGAGCGGATTGCTGTGTGGCGGGATGCTGGTGTGGTGCCTGCCTGCTCTGGTTCACCAAGCGTTAACACTTCTTGACACTATTGTAAGTGGGCAACAACTGCAAGCTGAATGCTTTCAAGCGTACAATTTGCAGTTGTGCACATGCAAGTGTTGAACTGTGTAGCTGTACACTTGTAAGTGTGCAACGCCGAGCACTTTTCACTTCATGTAGCGTAGTGAGCGTCTTATCTAAAGGTGCAGCATTAGAGTTGCACACTTACAAGTGCACAACTACCTCTTCCCTTCACCCCTCCCCCTCCCCTCTTCCTCACTATGCTCCAGTTTGAGAATAAATGACGGTCTAAAATGTGACTCGAGCAGTTGCGCCAACAGAACAGGTGGGCCGCACTTCAGAATAAATTCGCCGGATGCGAGGATCCAACAAGTCTCCACCTGGGGTTGTCTATCTTGCGGTCGTTCTTACAGCCGTGCCTCGCCCCGTCCCCCGGATAGAAGAAGATCCCGAAGAAGATCCCCCGAAGCTCGAGTTGATGGATAGAGCGAGCGTGATAGAATAAGATGAATGGTCGGGCTCGGTCCGAAACCTAGATAGATGGGATGGATGGATGGTCGAGCGTAATGCTGGATCATGATTACACAGACTGCGAGCCGATGACTTATTGACTGGTAGGAAGTGTCGGTCCGCGTAAACTGTGTTGCGCAGGAAGTTTCCGGTCTTCAGACTGTGGAGAAAATTTCTTTTCAATGTAAGTTGCGTACGGTTCCGCGCATACCGGCTCCGCATTACCAGTCTATTTTTCGCTGAAGCCTCTGCCTCCACAGCCTGCTCACACGGGTCCCTTTTAATTGCAGCTTCCAGGTTCTAATGGTCAGATAGGGGGTTGTCGTAATGGGCAAGCTACTCCCCCCCCCCCCCCGCTCTGCCCCGAATTAATGTCGGCCACAGTGCGGAGTGCTCTTTGCCGGCGACGGCCCGCCTCGACGGGCCAGGCCCTCTTCTCTTGGGCTCTCATTTCACTTGTTGATCCCCTTAGATTATGGTGGGGGCTTTTCTCTAGGTCCCGTTCAGTCTCAGCCCGGCATCATGCCTGCTGCGCCTACTGCGCACCCCTCACCCC